TTAGCTCTTTTTTTTAGGCATCTATCTTCTTATCCATAAATAAAATGTTCACAATGCCACTCCTGCATTCTTAAAGGCAGTATCTACTGGATTACTACCAAGAAAATTAACACCAAATTCTCATTTGTTTCTTGTGTTTCAAACCATTAACTATGTGTGCATTAACGTGCAGACACTCCATTCCCACTTCTCACCTAGTTCTCAAAACATACTTATAACATAATTTATTAGTTTAATTGCTATTTAAGTTTTTATTATGACTATGTAAAGGCATGAGGCTAGTCACAGTTTTTCCTTAGCATATATGAGTATAGTGCTGCCCTGCTGGCACAACTTTGTTTCAAAACAATTTTCATCTCATCACTTGCTTGACTATCTGGAAACTTACCATTACTTTACCCCCAAATCTCTGTATTAAATCTCCCAGTAGCACATTTGAACATATCAGATGTTTTTTGTCTTAGTATCCCAGAGAAATCTTTACTCAGCTTTACTAAATGTCTCCAGTCTGGTCTGACTCTTCCTGATGTTTGCGACTCAGTTGTCCTAGGAGGGGACTCCTCCCTCATCCTGGAGTTTGCCTTCTCCTATCTGTGCACTGGATCTTCCTTGTACAACACACAGGTTTCTTTTCTTCTTTTGTGGTTTACTTTTTAATTATAATGGTATATTAGGGTTCTGCAGAAAAATAACTAATAGCATACATGTATATATGTGTATGGGGTGGTGTGCATGTGTGTGCACGTATGTGGATGCCAGAATGTATATATGAAAATAAAAAGAGATTTGCTACAAGGAATTTGTTCATGTGATAGTGGGAGCTGAGAAGTCCCCTGATCGGCATCCATCTGCAAGCTCAAGGTCCCAAAAGGCCAGGATTATAAGTCAGACCAACTCTAAAGGCCGGAGAATTAAGGGAACCAATGGTGTGTACCTTAGTCTGAGGGAAAGAGAAGAGTGACATTACAACTAAATCAGGCACATACAGGGGCAAATGCTCCCTCTTCCACATTCATCTTATTCAGGCCCTCAGTGGACTGGACGACGCCTGCCCACACTGGAAAGGGCCATCTGCTTCACTGAGTCCAATGGTTCAAATGCTAATTTCATCTGGAACCACCCTGACAGACTTTCTCAGAAAGCCACATACCTGGGCATGTCTGACCCAGTTAAGTTTTTACACACAAAAGAAATTAACCATCACATCAGTAACTTACTGAGAAAAGAGGTAATGAAGATAATTTTTCAGAGTATATATATTTGGAAAAAATGTTTTTTCTGCCTTCATATTTGATCAATAGCTTATTAAATTTATAATTTTATTTTGGAACAAATTCACTTGGGAATTGAAGGGGTTTGTTTGTTTGTTTTGTTTTTCTTTGTTTTCTACTGGTTGCTTGTATCACTTCCAACCTTGTTGGTACCACTGTGACTGCTGATTTTTTTAGGTGACTTACATCTTCTCCCTCCCTCAGCACCTTTAGGGTGCTCTCTTTGTCAGACTGCAGCCTTCTAGGATTTCAGTGTGATGTACTCTGGAACAAAGGTATCAGATACTAGGTGGGGTTTTGCACGTAGGAAACTTCCACTATTCTGGGAAATTTTCTTTAATAATTTCTAGATATTCAAAACCTCACCTTTGCTCTATTTTGCATTTTCAGAAATATTATCTTAGGCGATGGAATACTCATCTTCTGATTCTCTTAACGTATCTCAAGTATTTCGCATGGCTTTTTCTAGGCTAGCGGTCCTCAACCTGTGGGTCATGACCCCTTTATAACAATGAAAATACATCCTGCATATCAGATATTTGCCTTATGATTCATAACAGTAGCAAAATTACAGTTATGAAGTAACAACAAAAATAATTTTATGGTTGGGGGTAACCACAACATGAGGAACTGTATTAAAGGGTTGTGGCATTAGGAGGTATTAGGAAGGTTGAGAGCCACTGTTCTAGGCCATTTCATCAATTTTGTCCAAACTTTCAATTATATACTTTAAAGACATTTCTGAATACACCCCCCCCCACACACACACACCCCCACACACATACATTTATCTTTTTTTTTCAAGAGTTCCTTTGAGCTCTCTGAGCAATGTATTTTTTTCATGGCCTACAATATTTCTCTGAGTACATTAATGATAAAGTATTCAAACTTTTTGTTACCAAATTGTCTCTGTTTCTCCTACTTCCTTTGGTGCAACTTATGGACCCAGGGCCTGGCCAGAGGCCCAGGAAGATTCCTTTATCTCCTTTTCGTCTGGGATTAAATTTGTCTATGAGCATTCTGTGGGCCAAAAGAAGAAGGAAACAGGGAGTCACAAGAACTTTCATGTAATCCTCTAGTTTTAGATAGTAAATGTCTCTTTAAATGAAAGACAGAGAGAAATTTCTCTTGCATGGTTTTCAAATTCAAATTATGTCCTAATGGTTAAATATTTGTGTAAAAGCCACACACTCAAATGCCTTATATGTAAGTTTATTCAACATACAACAAAAAATGTAAGGAAAACACCTGACAATTTATAGATAAAGACATAAAGGCATGCGATAAAAGGTATAATTATGTAGTGCATACTACATGTTGATATGAAATGTACAAAGTGATATTTGACTCAGTGTTCCATAAGGATCTGGTTGGAGTCCATGAGCAATCACGGTTCTCCAGGCATATGTTACTTGTACACAGCATTCTGTTCTGTAACAAAGAGGCCCTTCTAAGTCTTCAGTCTGATCTTGGAGTAGAATTAAGAGTTCCTTTATAATCATATTAATTTATACATAGATTCTACTGTCATAGGAAACCATTGTTGTTTTCTTCATGATAATGATGGAAAAAGTCTCTGCTAAAATTTGAACAATCTATTCTTTCCCCCTATATTTTGTAGCAAGGGATGTATTTCAATATTCTTTTCTCTTTATTCTTTGGTGTTGAGACCAAAGGTAAATCTCACATGAGAAGATTGCCATCAGTGTACTCATTTTTAAATTGTCAGTGAAGATTACGTTTTCAGGTTTGATTCTCTCATCTCTTTAGATAAAATTCATGGGTGCCATCAGAGGATGCATGTTGGGTGAATGGAAAGAAATTGATGAATTTAAAAAAAATTTTCGGTATGGGGTGTTTGGAATGCATATGTATTTTTATAAAGTATTCTCCTTTGAGCCAAGTGTAGAATATAGCAATGCCTACTTCCATGTAAGTATCAGATCTTATAAAATCCAATCTCATAAAATGTAGTAAGGTAGAAGTAGTCTTCTGTTTTCTAAACAACATAAAAAATTTTATACAATGGAGTAGTTGGCGCAATCAACATAACTGTAACTTTTGGTTCAAAAATCAGATATGAATTTGGTACTGTAATACCTGTTTTCTAATTCCAGTAGCTTAAATGTTACTCAGTAGCCTATCTGAGCCCTAAAAATTTATACTTTCACTATGGTACAGATGGCGGATTTCAGAAAGCTTTGGTATGTATAATAGCCCCCAAGGCTGCATGTAGTAGAGGAATTCTCTTTTTCTAATCGTTCCCTACTGAGAAAATAAGGCATTTGACTTTCATTATGTTTAGTTATTTGGAGGTAACCTTCCTATTCATCAACAGGCCTACTCCTTCGCTTTTCTTTAAACTGTGTAGAGAGATTTTGCTGCATATAGAAAATAATTCACCTTGATTTTGTGATCAGCTAATGTTTCCCAGCCAGGAAAGATCCAAGTTATAAGTGGACAGGGGAATGTTCAAAGTTCAATCCTCAGAGGTCCCAAGTAGAGACTTTCTTTTAAAAAACCTTAGACCGATTTCTACTCTTGCATTTTCATTAGCCATCGTTTGGTACATTTTCCCTATTGATAAGAAAAATTAAACTGTGTTTATACTATACATGTCTCATGTTAATGTATTTACGATATTAAAACCCATTTTTATGGTTCAGATAGAACTCAGCTGAAACTCATAACTACATGTAATACAACACCAATAATTGCATCTATACAAACAACAAAAAAAGCTACTCATTAGTGGTATTACCCACAAAGCTCATACATAGGGAGTATGCTTGAAATAATAGTTAAAATGTACTTTCTATTGCTTCATATTTCAGTAGTTCAAGCAATGCCACTTACCTGAACTGAGAAATTTTAACACTGGGGTTAGTAATACCAATTTTGATGATTTAGCACAGGCTATAAAAACTGTGCACTTTGGCGACAACCTTTCCTGATAGAGGAAGAGAGTCACGAGGACCACCTAAGCAAGCAAGAGTGTGCAAATAAGTCAATGCAGTCCACCATGATATAATCCTCCAGAAAAATTAATCTTTATCAAAAGAATGTTGTCATTGTACTCTGTCTCCATGAGATTAATTGTTTGTAATATTTGAGCTCCCATAGATGAGTGAGAACATGGGAGATTTGTCTTTCTGTAATTGACTTATTTCACTTAACATAATATTCTCCAGTTCTATCCTTGTTGCAAATAAATGGCACCAGGGACCAGTTTCATGAGAGACAATTTTTCCACAGACCGGGGTGGGGAGGGTTGAGCATCAGATTCTCACAAGAAGTGCACAACCTAGATTGTTTGCATGCTGAGTGAGTTTACAGCAGGAGTCACGCATCCATGAGAATCTAATGCTGCTGCATAGCTACAGGAGAAGCAGAGCTCAGGCGGTGATGTGAGTGATGGGGAGTGACTAGAAATGCCAGAGGAAGAAGCTTCACTCACTTGCCCATAGTTCACCTCCTGCCATGTGCCTGGTTCCTAACAGGTCACAGACTAGTACAAGTTCATGGCCCAGGGATTGGGGATGGCAGTCCTAAAACTTTTATCTGGACAAATCTGGATTTGCTAAAATATAAATAAGGTTAATACTTAATATTAATTACTTTTTCACCATTTCACCATTATCATCATCGAAAAGCTTGTATTAAGATATATGGTCACTTAATCTAGTTGCAGTTGTTTTTTTTTGTTTTTTTTTTTTTTTTTTTTAGCAGTCACATCTTAAGTTTATTTACAAACTCAAACAGTATGCTATTGAGTTCAAGAGTTTGATCCATTTTTCAAACAGAATACACCTTTTAAAATGCTCTTCATATCTGTTAAATGGATGCATGAAAACATCTTTACTTCTTAAGCAGTTGGTGTCTTACTATAAAGAAAGGTGCAGCAAATCCAGATCCAAAGTACAAAGTCATCATAGCTAGTAACCGCCACTTATTTTCCACCGAAAATGGCAAATTTTTCCCGGGGCCTTCCTCGTAGTGGCTCCTACGGACCACAGAGGTCGTGAACCTCCGGACGCTCTGTGCCAACATGGCGCCTTTGGAGAGCTCTGCGAAAGGCGCAGAGACCGAAGGCGGTAGAAATGGCGGCAGCACACCCAGACCTGTTTTCCCGACCTTGTTCCGCAAGGACCGAAAGGCATTGCAGTTGTTAAATATAAACTTTAGTTAGATATAATTACTGGCTGTTAATGATAAACTCTATGATCAGAATGTACAGGAAACCATACATTTTGTATTACAGTTTTCCAGCGGCTTATCATTACAGGAAGATCATTGAGAGTGAATCCCTCGTTCTCACATGTAAAACCAACATTTCAATACATTTTAAAATCTTTAAATTTATATTTTTACTTTACATGTATTCTGTGAGTAGAGTGCTAGAGTTAATTTACCTTTTGTTTATATATTTTCATATATAGAAATGTTCCTATAAAAATAGAAGACTACATTTAGATTATGCTCCTGGGGTTGAAGAGATTTTTAATCTAGTTCTAATCTTCTACATTAGTTTGTTCATTTTGATACGTCTTTGCAAAGCCTCAGCCACCAATTTGACTTAAAGAATTTTAGATCAGAGATTTCAAACTTAGTAAAGCAACAGCATAAGAAGAAATCCTTTTCCCTGAAAACCACTGAGTTCTTGAGAAATAATACAGAATGAGGAGTATAAATAAAGCAGAAGGTGGAGAAAGATTTTCAAATGAACATGAACTCAGAGAGAGGTAGCAATTTGATACAAATGCTGTGAACCCCCAGAGGGAATGAGCAATGTGGAATTACCATTAGGCTTCTGAGAATGTGGAAACTTTATTTCACATGCCAGGGTACGTGAACCAAAGACAAGTTCCCAAATGTGAAACTGTCTGGCAGGCAGAGTTTTATTTTTAAAAATTTTACAACTCTTGGTTAAAACTTCAGCCGTTTCAAGACACTAGATGGATTTTTCAAAAAATCCTATAATAAAAGCATTGATTTGTATTCATTCAAAGTTTGATACTATCCAGAAAAGTTAAAGAAAAACAAATAGCTAGATAACTCAGGAAAGCACATTTGCTTTTGACAGACAAACAATAAAAACCATTTGAGTTTTAAATTTAAGTATATTGCAATGCTCTTACTGACTGAGGAAGAGAATGACATTCTCAGAATGGGAATAGGGGTGGAAGAGGGGACAAATGCCTCCACAAAACAATACAATACCAGTGAACAACTGTGGCTGGAAACGTGCCATCTCTTTGAATGAACGCGCTTGTCTCCCTCATTCCCTTACAACAATCTGGTTTCTCCATTATAAAAATAAAAAGACTTTCAAATGAACTGAAACATTACTCTGATGGAAACATAATTTTCAGCTTTCTCCATCATGTAAAAAAATAGATGTGGAAAAATGTTTTACAGTAATATCCTGCTCAGATGATCATTTCATTTTTAGGTTTTAAAAAACATTACATCAATTGCAATAATTTTTTGCTGATTTTTGCCTCACTCTTATTTTTCCATACTTGTGGTCAGTTTGTACTCAACATTTTTATTTTTCCCCCACATTAAAGTTTTAAATTTCAAATGTCTTAATGACTAGCAATATAACTTATCTGTATTAAAATAACTATCAGTATGTTAATGAGTAACGGAAGATTGCATTGAATTGAGAATCAAGAAACAAAACAAGATGTGCATAATGTTTAGAAACTTGAAACTATTTATGTTTTGTATTTAGGTTTTCATTTTAATATCTATGTTTGTGTTTAGAATTGAATCACAGCTAATAAAGCTAGCATAATCAGGCATATATGCAATTGATACTCTCGTAAGTCACATACCATGTCATTAAGAAAAAACATTGTGTTTCTCCCAACGTACAGAAATTCTGTGAGATGAACATACATCTTCCCATAAGTGCTGTGTGGTTACCAAGAGACTTGGAA